GAATTCAATAACACTTTTAAATACATTTATGTTTTGTATTCATCACAAAAGTATTCGTTTGCGAATCTGTCTTATACATACAAGTTTGAGGCATTTAATTTATGTTCTCTATAGGCATGTTTGCTGAGGATATAAATTCAGTAACTCCCTATAATAATTCCAAGCCCTTGCCTACCTCCCACATGGTTTACTCTTAAGGACTATTAGTTGGATCTTTTGCTTTACAGGAAAGAGAAACTGAGGGCAGGGCAGGAACTTTATTAGGGTCACCTAAAAAATTGACAGCACAGTGAGAACTGAGACCCAGGGCCTGGGATTCCTAGCCCAGGTCAGCATGCGGCTTGGGCCAGCACCCTAACCTCATGTCTTTTTGGAATCTGTGGGGACAGCAGAGGATGCTGTGGTAGGTACCAGAGTAAATCTTCTAGGTTCTCATGGTGCCAGCCTCTAGGGAAACCAGTCCCCTGGCTACACCGGCTGCCGGGCATTCCAGGATCCTGGCACCCTGCCAAGAGTGAAAACAGAGCTGCAGGCTCCTGGGCTGCATTCTGCCCCCTCCTTTTGGGTTTGCAGTTCACTGCTGGGTTTGCAACAAGCCTAATCTCTGCATGTGCAGACTCAGAGGAGCCAGCTGAGAGGGAGCATTGCCAGCAGCTTGGAACCCTCCATGAGGCTTGCCGACCACTCTTCCCCCAATCCCTTTGCTGAGCAGATAGGACCAGGGCAGACTTCAGAAAAGGCTACAGGGGCTTTACCTGGCCCAGGCTTTAGAATGCATGCTGAGAGGGACTCAGTGAAGGACACCAGCCCACGTTCTCCCTCTCTCCCTCCCCAGTAGAAGTTCATTTGGTCCTGCCACATCCCATCTTCTCCCTCCTGCCCCTATGGCCTTTATTACAAGCACAGAAAGTCTGTCTGTTTCAAAGTAGAGATGTCTATGGACCACCTGAGAGTTGGACTGCACAAGTCCTTTGAGGCTTGATCCTGGTTCTCCAGGCACCCAGCTCCAAGGGTAGAGAGAAATTATTTGTGCATATAGTCAATAAGTAGGTGTCAGATATGTTTCCCTTTATGCTTTGGTTGCCAGGAGGCTCAGAATTGAATGAAGAACTCAATCACTAACCCTCTTACAACAGATTCCTGGCATAATCCACACCCTTCTTTCTGCATGAGGCCTCTGACACTATCTCTGGTTGTTATCTTAACTGTCTTGTTTAGTATGTGTTTGTTTTATAAAGCATTGCAAATCTTTTGTGTGGTGAAGGTGGGATGTGAGAGATAGGACATAAAAGCAAATGGCCCATAGACGTCTCTACTTTGAGATACAAAGTAATGCTCTGCCCACAGGGGATGATTTGCTGGGAATAATTTAAGACTTAGGAAAACGTTTTTATGCGTTGGTCCTTCTCTTTAATTCTCCCTTCCCCTCTCCATCTTCTCTTTTCTCCTCTCTTACCCTCCGTCCTTTATTCTCTTACCTATTCTCCCGCCAAACCCCTCCTCATTTATTCCTACTGGGGACCACCTCCACCCGGCAAGTATGAGTATTTCCCTTTTGCCAAAGAAGACACTAAGGCCCTGGAGAGTGTAAGTGATGTGCCATGGCCGCACAGCTTATCCTCCTCAACTGATTCTCAGAATCAGGCTCTGAGTCTCATGAGTCTAATTCCATCCTACTCCCCAGTGTGCCTCCACGCCCTTCGGTGCCCACCCTGCCGGCATCTCTCACCACCTGCTCTGCCCCGCGGAGATTACTGGAAGAGAGGTCCATAGGAAATCAAACCCCCACCCTGTTTTTCCTGCCGAGGTCTCTTTCAGAGTTGAGATTCCCAGTGGGACCAGTGGGACGCATCAGAGGGACCAGTGAGATATGAAGGGGGACATTAGGCGAATATTTACTGAGAATATGCTGTGTGCTGGACAAGGTGGACAGTCAGCCAAGCAAGGTTCTCGGGGTGCAAAATTGAAAGATGTCCTCACTCTCAGGCACCAGGCCTGCAAGCGTATGAACCTAAGAGTGAAATCCTCCTGGTGCCTGGCCTGTCTTTCCCTAGTCTTGGCCCTGCCGTTCAGTGGTGGCCTGCACCCTGCCCTCGGGGAGCTTACAGTCTATTAAGGGAAACAGATATTAATCAAGTAATCCTGCTAACAAAAGATGGTTACAGGTGTGACCATTGCCATGGAGTGTGACATGGGGCTAGGGAAGGGTGTTTTTGGTGGCAGTTGGAGGGGGACAGTGAGGTTTGAAGGCTGGGTAGGAGTTCCCAGGTGTTCTGCAGGCGAGGACAGGCACATTCACAGGCCCTGTGGCCGGATGGAGAATGGCATACAGGTGGGGCTTGTGGAGGGCAGAGGGTCCAGAGTAAGGGAGCCCCATGCAAAGCAGTCCTCAGTAGTCCATTCCAATAAAGTGTCAGAGTTTCCAAATGACTGACTTAAAAAAAATAACTCCAAGCCAGTGGGGAGAATTCAAAGCCACCCCTTAATGATGTCACTAGCACTCATCTTCCTGATCAGCATTCTTTAGTAGGATGTGCAGAGACTGTGCCTGGCCCCTCCACACTCATCTGTGTCCATGGAATACAGCTATGTCTGTGATAGAATCTATTATTAGCCACATTTTCTAGATGAAGAAATGAGAACACAGAGAAGTTAGATAACCTGCTGTATTAGTCATCTCAGGCTGCCATGACAAAATACCGTAGACGGGGGCCCTTAGACAACAGCAGTTTTAGCGCCTGGGGAGTCCAAGATCAGAATGCCAGCCTATTGGTTCCTGGTGGTGGCGCTCTGCCTTCTGGATGGCTGCCTTCCGGATGTGTCCTCATGGTGGAGAAGGCCTTGGTGTCTCTTCCTCTCCTTATAAGGGCACCTAACCCTTATGGCCTCAGTTAATGTTGATCACCTCCTCACAGCCCCATATGCAAATACAAACACATTGGGGCTGAGGGCTTCAACATATGAAGGGGAGCAGGGCCCATAACACCTGCCCAGGGTCATACCACCCATCAGTAGGATTTGAACTCAGGAAGTGCCTGTCCAGTGCCCAGGTACCTAACCACCGAGGCTCTGCCCCAGGATGTATGGTGGGGGGTACTGCCCATCCCAATGAGAGTTCCTCAGGGCAGCGGTGTTCAGGGATCCTTTACAAATCCATAGGGCGTTGCTCCCACCTGACTGCTGGACTTGTGAGCTGAGGCCTGAACCCACTTAAGGGTGATCCCAGCGATTGTTCCAAAGGAGGACTGGGCTGAGGATACTGCATAGTGAAGTCAACCTGAAACACTTGAATCCGGGGGTTCATCCAGTTTCCAATTTACTAAGCAGCCATTGGGAACGGTCTGCATGACCTTGGGCAAGTCGCTTGACATGGTCCAGGTGCCCTTACAGGTGGTGAGGGACCATCCCACAGGCTGGGTGAGGTCCACCGAGCACCCAGCGGGAAGCCCCAGGCATAACGCATCCAGGAGGCAGGAGAGCGGCAGGCGCCCTGGTCTTGCCCTGGGCGGTGCAGGTGCGGCCGCTGCTGAGCGAGTGGGTGTCCGGTGTCTCCACCAGTGGCAGCGCAGGCCCCGTCGTCGCCGCCAAGCCGAGGCAGCTCGGAGGCTGGGGACGCCGTGGGCCGCCCGCTGCAACACCCGCCCGGCCGTAGGCCCGGTGCTGTCGCCCAGCCCAGGCGGTCCCCCCCTCCCGGGCCCAGTACGCGACGGGCCCCATGGGAGGCCCTGGAATGCGTCCACTGGCCGGCCGGCCAGCCGGGAGCGGCCCCCTGCGGTGCCCCCTCCCGCCGCCCCGCCCGGACGCCCATTTCCTCCAGCTCCCCGCGCGCCCCCCTCGCGGCCGCCAGCCAACTGCGTGCCCCCGGGGCCGGCAAGAAGCCACATGCCCCCGCAAGGAATGCCGGGCCCGGCGGGCGGGGGGCGGGCACTGGGCAGGGCTGGGCCGGGCTGGGCAGGGAGCTCCCCACCGGGAAGGCTGGCGAGGGGAGAGCCAGCCTGCGCCTCCCTGGCCGCAACGCACACTGTCCTGCGACGGGGCGACCACAGGGCAGGGGGCAGCGCGGCGCAGCCCGGACCTGGAGGCCTCCGCTTCCCCTAAGCGCGCCCCCGGCCCCGCCGGCTTGAAGGAGGGGGCAGGCCGTCACGTTTCCCCACACCCCTCCCAGTCGCCGCTGCCGGCTTTGGGGCCCCGGTGGGGAGCAGGGGGCTGATTAGCCGAGGAGCAGGGGTGTGGCCAGCGGGGCCCCGGGTAGTGAGTCACACACGCCGCTCGCCCAGTCCCGGGGCCCAGCAAGGTCCCAGCCCCAGCTGCGTGCCACCCTGGCCCCGAAGAGTATCCCTGGGCTTGGCATGAGGACCCCGGGGTGCCGAGGGAGGGGCTGAAGCCCAGCTTGGTGGTTGAGGGCGGTAAGCGGCGGGCTGGGGAGTGTCCCCTACAGAGAGTGGGGGGGGCTTGGAGCCCTGGCTGGCCCGCGCTGGCGCCCCCAGGCCCTGCCTGTACCTGCTCTGAGCTGGCAGAGGGGCCTGGCTGTGCTCCCGGCAGTCCCAGGGTGAGGGGCTGCCCTGCCAGGCATTGAGGGCCCAATCGGTCCACCCACCACCCCTTGGCCCCAGTTGGGCTTGAGTTGTTCCCCCCTTCTTCCCTTTGCAGTTTTGCATCCAGGCTCTTGTGGGATCCTCCTGCCCCTTGCCCTTTGGTCTGGGGGTCCAGGCTGTACTTCCCAGCACGGCCTCCTGGCCTGAGCTGCCCTAGGCCCCTGACCCATGGGGCTGGTGGCTCCAGTCGTCCCCAGGACCAGCCTGGGATAGAAATGGCATTTCCTCTTGGCCCGGCTACAGCTGTTTTTGTTGTCTGTGTTCTCAAGCGCTTCCTCTGGGGATGGCAGGGAGGGTAACTAGACTCCGCGAGACCCCCACTTGCCCTCTCCTCCACTCACCCCTCTTCCCCTGTTTCTTTGATCTTCTTCCTGTGCTGGTCCCACCTCCTGCGACCCAGGACAGAATGACCGAGAACATGAAGGAGTGCTTGGCCCAGACCAAGACAGCTGTGGGGGATATGGTGACGGTGGTGAAGACAGAGGTCTGCTCACCACTCCGTGACCAGGAGTATGGCCAGCCCTGGTGAGGCCCCTGTGTGGGAACTGGAGAGGGAGAAGAGGGAGTGGGGGGTGCCTGGGCTGGGTTGGTTGGGAACCCTGGGAACATTCTCACTCCCTGCCCACCTTCCCCAACCCTGCTCCTGGCAGCTCCTGGGCGCAGGCTCTAGAAAAATCCAAGCAGTGGCCTAGGGAGGTATGTGCGCCCATCTCAGTCTTCCAGTTTTTCCACCACCTCCTGGACTGAACAGCAGGCTGGCTGGTACTCCTATGCCCACCCCACATCTTCTTGGCCTCCTGGCCAGGTCCCCAGCTTTTGTCCCCACTGGGGTCTCACTTTCTGATGGCTTCTTTTCTTTCTTTGCGGGCCTCTGTCCTGGCCAGCTCTAGGAGACCAGACTCCTCTGCCATGGAAGTTGAGCCCAAGAAACTGAAGGGGAGGCGTGACCTCATCATGCCCAAAAGCTTTCAGCAAGTGGACTTCTGGTGTAAGTGGAGCTCGGGGCTCTGGGCTGTTCCTCCCTTCACCCCCATTGCCCCGTTCCTGGCTAGGGAATTCACAGATATGCTACTATGATAGGTCCTCATCTGCGATGTACCCGACCTGTGTCCAGGCCTTGGGTAGTCATCATCATTAGCCACCCAGGTGGCCATTGTTGGCCCCATTTTCCAGATAGGGCACTGAGTCTTGGTGAGGGTTACGTATCCCGCCTCAGGTCCCGCAGCCCAAGGTGCACTTGGACTCCAAAGCCATGCTCTTCCTTCTAGTTTTTTAAACTTGACACAAAGGGAGCTGATGGCTTCCTTGACATAGGCAGGCCTGTTCTTAGAGCCCCCGGGGAGAGTATAGGTTATTGCTACTGATAACCCTGGGGCCCGCAGCTGGCTGTCCACTGGTGGGCCTCCTGTCACCCCATCTGCCTCCCCCATGGGGGTCCTACCACCCTGCAACAACTGAGACCCTCCCTTCTCCTTCCATCCCTCCAGTCTGCGAGTCCTGCCAGGAGTACTTCGTGGATGAATGCCCAAACCATGGCCCCCCGGTGTTTGTGTCTGACACGCCGGTACCTGTGGGCATCCCAGACCGGGCGGCGCTCACCATCCCACAGGGCATGGAGGTGGTCAAGGACACCAGTGGAGAGAGTGATGTGCGATGTGTAAATGAGGTTATCCCCAAGGGCCACATCTTCGGCCCCTACGAGGGGCAGATCTCCACCCAGGACAAATCGGCTGGCTTCTTCTCCTGGCTGGTGAGTGTGCCTTGGGCTGTTCCATAGGAGAGGTTGCCAAGGAGCATGGAAGGAAACCAGCAGGGGGAGCCATACTGACCCAGCCTGGTCCCAGAGCTTTTCTGTCATCGCTTCTGGACCTGTGGTTGATGGATCTTGCTGTCTGTGGCCCCGGCTGAGTGGCTACAATGCTTGGTGTCCAAGGGCAATGCTGAGACTACTACCCACTTGACAGTAGTCAGCAGATCAGGAAATCACCAGACAGAACTCAGGACAATTTCCCCATGAATCCTCATGTGTGTGTCCTATGGACCATTGGGCGGCTTGGAATGAACTGGTCTTCCAGAGTGAGTGACTTGGAGCTGGCCTGTGGGGATGCAGAACGTGACTTCCCACTTCCAAAGTAGTAATACCAGGCTCTGGGCTAGGTGCTGGGGATAAAACCTTTAACAAGACAGACATGGTTCCTGCCCTCAGGGAGCAGGTGGTCTGGTGGAAAGACAGGCATTGAACAAGCAGGTACACATGCGATATCGGTTTGTAACACAGGGTACTATTGATACATGGGGTGCAAAGATGAGGAAGAGGGGTTTTCAGAGGTATGAGGAGGAAGGGTTATCTAAGCAGCTTTAAGGAGTCAAGCTTCAGCTACTGGACAGAGATAGGGGAGCATGGGGCAATAGAGAAAAGCATTCTACAAAAACACCTCTTGAGTGTCTCCTTTGTGCCGGGCACTGTGCTGACCCTGGACATACAGTGGTGGGCAAGATAAGATGATCAGATAAATCCTGCCCTCATGGAGTTCTCTGTGGGGAAGATAGACTTAATCAAAGACTAAGACAAACCCATGTCAAATTATAACTCTGAGGATGATGGAAACAGCGAGGCTGGGAGAAAGTGAACAAGCAGGGGAGGTGAGATGGGCAGAGTTCGGAGAAGGCTTCCTGCTAGTTGAGCTGTGATTCAAGGAGGTGAATGGCTTACCAGGTGAAGATTGGAGAGGGGCCTTCAGAAGCCTGGAACAGCAAGGGCAAAGGCCCTGTGGCATGAGAGCATGGCACATCTGAGCCACTGGGTGAAGGTCAGTGTGCCTGGAGGGCAGCACACACAGGGGCTGGAGGAGAAGCTGGAGGCATGATTATGTAGGACCCAGTGGACCAAATTAGGACTTCTGTTCTTTATTTTAACAATGTGGCGGGAAAGCGGGGAGTGACTTGGTCACATTATGTTTTGAAAAGGTGATTTTGGCTGCAGTCTGGAAAACCAGTTGGGCTCAGGGGCGCTGGTCAGTGATGGGTACCTTTCCCAGGTAGAGCGTGCGAGAGTTCTCTAAGTCAGCAATGGTGGAACCCTGGGCTAGGGCAGGGGCAGAGACATGGAGGCAAGTGAACTGCTTTGTGAACTGTGTCAGAGAGGAGAGCTCTGACTTAGAAATAGACTAACTGGCCTAGGGCAGGGAGCAGGAAGTATCAAGGACATCAGCAGTCTCCCAACAGGTTGTTAATGATGCCTTTTTCTGAGAACTGGAGGAGGCTGGGAGGGGACTGGATTGAGGGAAAGATCATGATTTGAGTTTTGGACTTGTTGAGTTTGGAGTAACACCAGGATATCCAAGTGGTGATGTCAAGTAGGCAGTTGGATATATGGGTCTGAAGCTTGGGGAGGAGGCTCAGACATGTTGCTTAGTGAGTCACTGGTGCATGGGTGGTCAGTGGGGCGGGGCTATGGAGCGCAGAACCTAGGAAGAATGTGCTGAGGGAGAGGTGGAGAGGTCTGTGACCAAGGTTTGACGGACTTTAGCAGTTCATGGTCTAGAAGAGGGGCTTGATCCTGCAAAGGAGACAGAGAAGGTCTGCAGCCAGAGAGGTCAGAGGGGAACCAGGAGAGTGGGTGACCTGGAAGTCAAGGAAGAAGAGAGGTTCTCAAAGGCCACAATGGCTGTCAGTGCCAAATGCTGCTGAGAAACCAACCAGGAGAGGGACTGAAAAGTGTCCCTTGGAATTACTGCTAGGGAAGCCATTGGTGACTTTAGCAAGAACGATTGTAGAAGTCAGTGGGTCTCAACCTGAGGCAATTGTGCAGCCCTGCCTCCTGTCTCCAGACATTGCCCAATGTCACAGCTCAGTGTAGGGGTAAGCTGCGGCATCTAGGAGGCAGAAACCAGGATTACTGTAAACATTTTACAATGCACAGAATAGCCGCTCATAACAAAGAGTTATCTGCAGAAACCCTGCTGGAGAGTGATGGGGGTGGAACCTGATTAGCATGGAGGTGACCAGGCATAGTCATTTTCTTGAAGTTTGTTACAGATAAGATCAGAAGTGGAGGAGAAAGATAAGAGTGAAGTGGGTGGTGGTGGGGTGGTTGGGGGGATTTGGGGGTGTGGGGGTGGTCAGTGGAGTCTGTTCATTAGAAAGACTTTAGCATCCTCAAAAAGCCAGTGGGAGGGAGGGGTTCTGCTGAAGTGCTTGAGTGTAGAGTAGAGATAAGACATGCTCCCTAACCTTTTACATCACCTCACAGTGTTCACATGGAGACACTGGATGAAAAAGGAGGTGGACCAGCCTCTTTTCTGTCCCTCCAGGATTAGCCTAGAGGATGAGAGCAGATGGAGGTAGTTAGGTATAGCAGGCCACATAGTAGCTCCCCAAAAATGTCCCTGTCCTTGTCCCTAGACTTTATAAATATTATCTTCACAGCAGAAGAGATTTTTTGCAGATGTGACTTAAGGATCTGGAGATGAAAGTGAAGATCTTGGATTATCTGGGTGGGCCCAGTATAATCACAGGTGTCTTAATAAGAGGGAGATGGGAGCCTCAGAGTCAGAAAGAGATTGGAAGATGCTGCTCTGCTGGCCTTCAACATAGAGAAAGGAGTTGGGAGTGAAGGGATGCAGGCAACTTCTGGGAGCCAGAGAAGGCAAAGACACACATTCATTCCTAGAGCTTCCCGAAAGAATGCGGTCCTGCCAACACCTTGCTTTTGGGACTTCTGACCTCTAGAACTGTCAGGTAATACATGTGTGTTATTTTAAGCCACTGTGGTTTTGGCAGTTTATTACAGGAGCAACAGAAAACTCATAAGGGAGCATTTTGTGTTTGCGGGGGAGGCATCTACTAAAATGGGCGGGAAGGGGAGTGAGGTGGCCTGAAATTGAGGAGATCAGAGAAGGTAAGTTCTGCATGGGATGAATAGAGTTCCAGGGGCCCAGTAGGTTCCGGGGAGCTGTCCGGAGCACTCCGATGTGTGTGTGGCTCTGCAGCAGAGAGGAGATGCCGGGATGACTGGAAAACTAAGTCTATAAATTCATGCAGCTGAAGCCCAGCGGGGGGAGGGCATGGTCTACAGAAAATGCTTGGGGAGGAGAGAGGAGGCCTTTCCTTTGGAATATGAGTTGAAGGAATCCTTGGAGGGAGAGGAGTTGAGAAGGCATGGAGTGGTAGGAGGAGACAGGAAGAAGTCTCCTTGGCCCCCTTGGCAGGAGCAGTCTCACTGGTGGAAGCCAGATTGCTGCGGATTAAGGTTGACTGGGAGGTGAGGAAAGGGAACTAGCAAGGGTACCTGGCTTGTTTTAAAAGTCTGGTTGCCCACTGAGCAATTATTATATGCCAGGTGCATACCGGACACCTGTGTCATCTCATACTTCTCCAGTCCATGGGGCGGGGGGGTTGCTGCCCCTCTTGTTCAGATGAGGAAACACAGGGCTCCCATGGCTGGTCCACAGTATACTTTGGGTTCCTTTAATGATAGTGTCCCTCCACCATGCCACCATGTGAGGACTTCCCTTGTTGGAGACATGGCTAGCGGGGTGGAGCATTTAATAGCTACCCTGCGCCAGTTTTGGTTATGTGTTCAGATTCAACCCAACCTCACATACACAGAGCAACTCCAGAGCACTAGGTCCTGAGCAGGGAGCTCGAGGGATAACAGAAATGCATGAGGTTTGCTCTCTGTTCTTATGGAGTCTGTGGTTCATTTATGAGGAGCATAGTGGGTAGGAGGGGAGGAAGCTTATTCCCAACCAAGTAATACAGAGGCAACATGTTGCTTGGTGATACAGTGCCACAGAGGGCTGCAGCAGGAGGGAGAGGGGGACTGGTTTCAAAAGGCAGATTGGAGAATGGATTTTGAAGGATGGATTGAAGTTCAGCAGAGGAAGCCTATGGCTTCACAGCCTATTGGAAAATTGCAGGAGAAAAAATCTAGGGCCGTGCCCAGGGAAGGGCTATTAGGATCCCCTTCTGCAGCTCTCAGAGTCTGTACCTGGGACAGCCCAGCTGGGGAAAGTTGAGAATCTTTAAAGCAGATGAACTTGCCCAGGTTGGCTGCCTGGCACAGGTCGATGGTGAGCGGAAAGGAGGAATAGAAGGCCCTGGAATTTGCAACCTGGTTCAAGACTAGCACCACCAATGAAGCCCCAGTTCAGGCCTTGGGATTGGTGGCCTGGAGGTTATTCCCTCTGAGGTTTCTTCCCAGGGTCTTAGCTGCAGCCAGCAGCCAGCAAATGGGTACAGGGAGGGAATGGCTGGAGGCTGCAAGACCATATGAGGCTTTGACCTTTGGGAACCCAAGAGGTGAGAGACATTAAAGGCCTAGAGTCACCAGATACATAAAGTGGCTCAAGGAAAGTATAAGTGTGTGGTGTTGGGCATGGGTGTTTGGGCCTCCGCTGGGGATGAGCAGGCATGTGGAGTGGCTCCGCCTGCTCAGGTGATGAGTGGGCAGAATGATGGGAGAGGATGGGAATGGTGGGTTGAACAGTGGTGCTGATTTTTAGACCAGGATCTGGAAGCCCCACATTCTAAATAAACTGCCCTTGTTTGTCCAGTCCTGTCCCAAAGCCATCCTGGATATTGTCTTCTTTGGACCTTCTACCTGCCTGCGAAAGCTCTGCCCCCAATCAGCACAATACGTTTCCTTCCACACTCCCCCAGGATGTGCACTCTGCTCTGTAGAATTGATAGTGGTGATCACGATAAACATAGCTGTTAATGTTTATTGAGCACTTACTATGTGTCTGG